GTCCGCCCAGTCCCGCCCGGTCCTCCCAGCGGCACCTCCCGGTCCCGCATGGGCGGCCCGAGCCTCGCTCCTGGCCGCTCTAGGCTTTAAATATCTCGGGTGTAACTTGGTTCTGAGCTACTCGTGCAAAGAACTGAGAGGAGCTCGTTGTTTCTAACGAAGCAATAGAACACCCGCCCGGACCAGGTTTAAGTTGTGCCTTGCTGAGGGTATCTCTCTCGGCTGGCAGCCTGACCCCAGCGGATGGGGTAATGAACAGCGAGGGCAGCGGGCACAGCTGGGCAGCGCCCCGATAGCCACGGCTTGGGAATCTTCCCACAGCCAAAGGGAGACTAAGAGTTGTTTTGCTTTGGTTTGGTTTGGGTTTTTGCTTTGGTTTAGTTTTGTGCTTTGGTTTCTTTAGGGTTTTTTGTTTGTTTTTTCTTTGGTTTGTTTTTGTTTGGTTTGGTTTTGGTTGGGTTGGGTTTTGTTTTAAGGGCAGCTCCAGAATTGTAAGGTTGTTTTTCTTCTATGCTCACCTTTCTGTTTTGGTCTCTTGGTAGTGCCTTTCTATCAAGTCAGGGGAAGAAAAACTGGGGTTTTTGGGGGCAAGTGTTTAGTTTTACACTCAATGGGTTTAGCTTTAACTTAACGGTGGGGTAAATTACAAACATCAGGTGTTAGCTTGTAACTTGCAGCTGCCTCTGGAATGCCTTAACTATCAGCTAATGATAGGGTTTAGAGATACAGCCCAGACATAAAGTAATGAAACCTGAAACTATGATGGGTTTATTTTCTTTCATCCAGAGGACTTGTCTATGGTCCCAGAGTGAAAAAGACCACCATCTGTGATGATGTCGGATTTTACAGAAAAGCAGACGGTAATGTTAGGCTTTGCTAGAATAAAGTGTTTTTAAATGGGGGGGGGGGGAAGACTCTACAGGTCTCATAAAGAGTAGCACTTGTACTACACTAGTGTTTAGAACATGCCAATAGCTGAATTTACAATCCAAACAGAAAAGCAGGAGGAAGGG